CCAAGTATAAGTTTCGCATTAGAACGATCAAGTGTTCTGGGATTCCCATTCTTCTCAGAGTCAGCCACAGTTTGTTATGATCTACATAGTCAAATGCCTTTGCATAGTCAATGAACATGACTACTAATTTAAAAGATAATTAAAATGAATAAGGGGTCCTTGTGATAAAACACATAACATATATTAGGCTGCTAATGGGACGGTCAGCAGTTTGAAGCCAACTGTCACTCTAAGGGAGAAAAGTCTCCTTCCTGTAAAGATTTATAGCCTCCTGAACCCAGTGGAGGGTCATTATAAGCTGGAAACGACTCACACTGTCATTGAGTTTTAACAATGAATACCATAACCTCAAGTAAACCTTTGAAGTAGGAAGTGGTTAAGTTTATTTTGGAAGTGCATTTTTAAAAGTCCTGGTATGTTGGAACTCTTCAATTTAACCATTAGAAGAACGCAGTCATCTTTAAGATGTGGTTTTAAAGGTCAAGCCTCTATTAAAGGAAAAATGCAAGGCACATCTCTCAAGTGTTCTTTCTGCCTCTCCTCGCAAAGATCTGGAGTTGTGGATCATGAAATGCCTGAAAACTGTGTCTGAGGAATGGCTGAAGTTGACTATAGATTTCATGGATGAAGGATCTCAGCTGTCGGAAGTTAGGGATAAAGATCTAATATAATAGCATTTTGTGCCATCAGTTCACTGAAAATGAAATGAAGGAGTTAACGCACTTGATTTGATACACTTGAAGATGGAAAGATTCACTTTAATTAAGAACTACAAACAATGCAGATGCCTGTAGCTCTCTGTTCCAGGCCCAGCGAGGACAGTACAGTAAGCGAAATGCAATGTGCCCAGCAGCCTCAGCAGCATGCTGGAGCCGTGTTCAGTGAAAGTAATTTAATTAGTGTTGATCATGACTCCAGATGATGGTGATTTGATAAGGAATAATTTAGTACTTAACAGCCTTTTACATGCACCAACTCCATGTGGGAAGGTAAAGCAAATTGCACAAAATGAATGTGCTGCTTTTCGCTTGTGCCTGTGCCAGTGAGCTGGAAAACTGCCTGTTAGCAGACGCTCGGGCTCTCAGCTCTGTGATGAAATACCCAGTACATTCTCAGCTCAGCCCGCTCTGGTGGGAGTCTCCATCCCATCCTGTTTAAAGAACAAATGAAGAAGAGACATAGAATTCTCATTGTAGCAGAAACACTAAAACAGGGAAATAAGACAGGATGTGATTCTTGTAATAAATGTTGAAGACCTTCAAGTTCACATCCTCTTTTTCTCCCTAAAATTCAAACTTGTTGACATTGAGTTAGAATCTTCTCAAAGCTCACTCTCCATTTGGGTTTGTTTCCAATCCTGTAGATTTCAGGGGAGGAGATTGCCTATCTTTCTCCTGAGGGGCCGCTGATGAATTAGAACTGCCAGAGAGGCCCAGCTTTTGGGCTGACCATGCAACTCTATTTTGAGGACTCTCAATTAACAAACTCAAACCGGTTTGAGTGTGTTTGGAGAGGGAAGAGTCCTAAACTTTTTGAGAATCTTTGAGATCATTGAGGATAGGCACCTAAGGAAAAATAAGAATATCATTAGATTATTTAAAAATGTTTTTAAAATATCAGATGTATTATTTAAATAGAGTCCAGAACCCATTGGATTCAGGTAGATTAACAGTGGATTAAAAAATCTCCTGAGACATGGAATTTCTATGTTCAGCTTTTTGAGGAAGTGCCAAGCTGCCTTCCAGAGTGGTTGTACCATTTTACAATCTCACCAACACAGTATAAGAGTTCCTATCTTGCCACATCCTCTCCAACATTTATTACTTGCTGCCCTTTTAAATTTTGCCACTGTTACTGGAGTGGCATGGT